AACATTTTAAGAACTTTTTAAATTATGTAAAATGTAGAATCCCAAATTTTAGATGAAAGAAGATAAATTTAGAAGTATTTTGATGGATATAGGAAGGAAAGGAAATGACATTTCCGTTTAGCAAATGTAGTTGTCACCTCTGTGTTCTCAGCACCTTGCCCATTGCTTTGTGGAACCACTCAGAACACAGCAGGAATTTCTTGTTGACCTCCAAAACTTCAGACCCCCAAAAGGCAGACAGTGTCTTTGTATTCCCAGGGCCTGCTCTAGTGCACTACTCAAAGTCATGGATGGGTAGGGATGAGACTGTTAGAGCTGTGAGTTTTCAACATAATTAGTTAGGTTAGAGCTGAATTAACACAAAGAAGAGAAAATGGCAACGTGAAGAGCTACAGTTATCAAATTGCAGCATCATACTCTAACTATGGCCTATATAGTAATGATTTAGAAAGCTTTAAGTGTTAGAAGCATAGAGCTTAAAGGAATTTCAGAAACCACCTATTATAATCTATTTTATAATGAAATAATCTGTACAGTCTTGTACAAATAGATATTTCTAAGTGGGTGGAGGAGGGGAAAGAATACAATAACTAGTAAGCAGCCTATTTGTAGTATCTGAGAAACTGGGTCTTTATGAATATTACTGGAGATTGTTTTATGGCTCTTCACAGAACTAGAGGAGCTAAAGATAAAGTAGGATGTTAATTTGACTCCTTGAAATCCAGTCAGATAGGTTTTCTACAGAAAATTCCCTTTAGACAATAGAAATAAGAATTCGTAATTGCCTGGGATTTATTTTTGTTATCTGCATCCATTTAGGCCTTTTTAATCCTTTCTGAAAGGCATCTTAATGCTTGGAAAAATAAAGAAACAAATACTTAGGCAATGCCTTTTGTAATTTTACTAGTTAGATAAATTTCTTTTTAAAAAAAGGAAAAATGTTTAGCAAAGCATAATGCTTAAAAAATACAGTTTGGCAAAAAGAACAAAATATTACCAAAATCCTACTATTCTGTATAGCCTTTGCTTATGTCAGCATTGGTGCTTCTAATGAAGTGAAATCATGGTTGACTAATGTGTATTTGCAGGCTTCCTTGTTGGCTCAGTGGTAAGGAATCCACCTGCCAGTGCAGGAGATGAGGATTTGATCCCTGCATTGGAAGATCCCCTGGAGAAGGAAATGCAGACCACTCCAGTATTCTTGCCTGGGAAATCCTATGGACAGAGGAGCCTGGCAGGCTACAGTCCACAATGTCACAGAGTCAGACACAACTTAGTGACTAGACAACACAAGGAGTCAGAAAATGCCATTAATTAGTTAAACCCTGTTTTACTTTCCATTCATAGTAGCAGAACCCAATGAAATGTTAAAAGGCCAATTTTATTGTTTTAACTTTTTGTTTTGTATCAGGGGCCAATTAACAATGTTGTGATAGTTTCAGATGGACAGCAAAGGGAGTCAGCCATCCAAATACAGGTATCCAGTCTCCCCCAAACTCCCACCACCCAGCCCGCCACGTAGCGCTGAGCAGAGTTCCCTAGGCTATGCAGTAGGAAAAGGACAATTTTAAAAAGCAAATATGGCAGAGACCATGGGACATGATTTTTGCATCTTGATTCATTCATCCCTGACTCATCTCCTAGTGTTAAACCTCCGGTCTTTGAGCACTTTTCTTCTACAGCTTCAAACTTTCTCTTTGTTCTTTAAACAGTCTTCTGTTGGGGGTAGATAAATGTTCTGAGTGTTAGGAAAAAAAGTCCAAGCTGAATACTGAAAGATAACAGTCAGACCCACAAAAATCTAAGTGTTGACACAGCTACACTTCCAACTGAGAACAGAAATCGGTGCTGAGGAATCACTATAAGGATGAGTGGTAAGGTGGGCTTCTTCAGTTTTGTCCCCGGTTCTTACCACTATCAGAGTCTGCAGGCAGAGAGCCCCTATTGTCCCTGATTTATTTCTCACTTAGAACCTGTGAATGAAGTAGTACATGAATATAAAAGACCTAAAATTGTTTATATGTGCTTTCTCAAGTCCATACTTCTTGAAACCAAGGTTGATAACTTAAAAAAAAAAAGTGGTCATCTTTTTGTATATTCATGATATTGCTTTATACACTTTTTTCTTCTGATTAATAATATATTGTGAGAAACTTTCCATCGTGATAATTATACATATGTACATAATCTTAGTGGCTAAATTCCGTTTCATTAAATGAACACACTGATTTATTTAAACAACTGTTGTTGCACAATTCCACTGTTATATGTTTTTCATTATTTTAAGCAATACTTTAGTATTACACCTGCCTACCCTTACTCAGTTTATTCCTTGAGAAAAAAATATCTTGAGGTACAGTGGGTTAGTGGAATAGGCAATAAAAGAAACAGCACTTTCCAATTTGCCTTTTTCTCCTTATTCTTGCTTTAATTATTAGTAAGGTTGGCTATATAGTTCTTGTTTTGTGATTTTTCTATAACGGTCATTTGCCCATTTTTCTGTTGGATTATTTATTTTTAATGATTTGGTGGGGATTCTGAATAATAACCCCTTCTATCATTTTTTGTTAGCAGTTTTATTGAGATATAACTGACAATAAACTATATATATATATTTTTTCTTTTTAGTTTTTTTTTTAAGTGTGGACCATTTTAAAGTTTTTATCGAATTTGTTACAATATCATTTCTGTTTTATGTTTTGGTTTTTTTGGCCTCTAGGCATGTGGGATTTTAGCTCCCTGACCAGGGACCCAACCTGTACACCTTGCATTGTAAGGCAAAATTTTAATCATTGTACCTCCAGGGAAGTCCCCCTAAACTGCATATATTTTAAAAGTACATGCTGATAAGTCAAGACATATTTATATACTTATAAAACTGTCACCTCAATCAAGATAATGAACATATCCATCATCCCCAGAGTTACTATGTGCTCCTTAGTCATCTCCCTACATCCTCCTCCCACCAGGCAAACACTGAATTAATTTGAATTTTCTAGATTTGTATATAAGTGAAACACTATATGCCATATACTCATTTTTTTTTTGTTCTGGCTTCTTTCACTCATACTTACTTTGAAGTTCGTCTTACTTTGTGTTTTAAAGTTACTAAACACAGTGTTTTAGAAGCACACACTTTGTGTTTTAGAGTTTATCAATAGTTCCTTTTTATTTCTGAGTATTATTTTATTGTACTGCTATATCATGGTCTGTTTTTCCATTCACCTGTTGATGGGCATTTGAGTTTTATTTAGTTTTTAGTTACTACAAATAAAGACGCTATGAATATTCATCTACATGTGTTTTTATAAACATATGTTTTTATTTCTCTTGAGTAAATTCCCAAGAGTAGAAGGGCTAGATCTCATTGCAGACATATGTTTAAGAAGCTGCCAAACTGTTGTCTAAACTGGTTGTATCATTTAATTTTCCTATCAGTAGTCTATGTTTCAGTATCTCTGTATCTTTTCAAAATTTGAAATGGCTAATCCTTTTCATTTTAGCCTTTGTAATTGGGTGGAGGGCTTTTTCATTTTGGTTTTAGTTTGCTTGTCTTTAATGACTGATGATGGTAACCACCTTTTTGTGTGCCCACTGACCACTCATATTTCTTCTTCAGTGAACTGTCTGTTCAAACCTCTTGCCCACTTGTAAAATGAGCTTGTTTGTTTTCTGATTATTGAACTTTGAGAGTTAGGTTTCCTTTATACACATGGTGCTCTATCAGATATATGACTTGCAAGTATTTTTCCCTGTCTTTGGCTTTTCTTCTGTCTTAAGAGCTTTAGAGAACAGACTTTGAAATTTTTATGAAGTCCAAAATTACGATTGTTTCTTCTATGGATTTTTAAGTTGCATAATTATGTAATCAAGGGAATATTACTTTTTTCTCCTTTCTACTTACAGGCATTTAAAATTTTTCACATCCATTTATTTTAAATGATCAAACGAGATGCCTGTGAAAGCATCCTGAAAATCCCAGAGTTACAATAGAGGTGCTATTTCCTTCCTCCTCCTTCCCCTCCTCATCGCCACTGTCATCAAAAACATTCAACTTCTGAGCCATCTGTTCCACTCTGGAGAATTAATCCAAAGGCAAAACTCCTTTAAAAAAACAAATTGCGAAAGCACTTACTCACATATGCCCCACGTGGCTCAGACAGTAAAGAAACTGCTTGCAATGCAGGAGACCTGAGTTCGATCCCTGGGCCGGGAAGATCCCCTGGAGGAGGGCATGGCAGCCCACTGCAGTGTTCTTGCCTGGAAAACCCCATGCACAGACAAGCCTGGTGGGCTATAGTCCATGGGGTCGCAAAGAGTCAGGCACAGACTGAGCAATTTAGCACTTTCTTTCACTTTTCTTTACTTACATATGGTCTATAATGAGGGAAAACAGAGAACATTTATAAATATTTTAACAATAGGAGATACATAAATAAACTGTGGTGCTTCTTTCAATGAGATATTGTAAGGCATTTGTAAATGGTAATTATACAGTTGTAGAAATAGAAAAAAATTATATTTAAATTGAAAAACTTAAATTGTTTACACTGATACCTTACATAAAATGTACATACGGATAAAGATTAGGAGGGGCGTAGAAATATGAAAACGGCTGTTTTAAAAGATAGGTTTGTGAATAATCATTTTTATTGTTTTTGTATTTTCTTTAATTCTACATTGTGTTTTTTTGTACTATGTTTTCTGTATGTATCTCTTTAAAGCTAGGGTCCCATTCCAATATGCTCTATTTACCAGTCCAAGGTAACTGCATGGTCTTCCAGGCTCATTTATACTGCCTGACATGAGGTTACCTGTGAAATTAATTCATTTCCTTCTTTATGGTTTTGTCAGTCGTGTTGTATTATTATTATGCAGTATTTAAACTGTTTTATGCACTTTCTGATCATGTGTTTAAATGCTACCGTTTCATGGCTTAATTTTTCCGTTGTGCTTTTACTGTGATGATTAACTAATCATGGATTTGTTTTTTTTTCCAGTTGCCCAGCAGGAGGCTGAAATGTTCAGACGCTACAACGGAACCTTTCCATTACCTGGAATACACCAAAGTCAAGACGCTTTATGCACCTGCCCTAAACTGCCTCATCAAGGATCCTTTCAGATTGATGACTATGTCCCCACTGAACATTCTTCAATGAAGATGCAGCAAGTGAAACAGAGAATTGATTCTGTCACAGTATGTTTATTTCATTTTATGCAGTAGACAAGTTGGAAACTTTAAAACCATTTCAATCCTGTTTTATACACCCATGCCAATAAATATTAATTGAGTGAAAAAATAGAAAAAATGAGTGTTAGTCACTCAGTCATGTCCAACTCTTTGTGACCCTATGGACTATAGCCCGCCATGCTCCTCTGTCTGTGTAGATTCTCCAGGCAAGAATACTGGAGTGGGTTGCCATGCCCTCCTCCGGGGGATCTTCCCAACCCCAGGGACTGAACTCAGGTCTCCCGCGTTGCAGGCAGATTCTTTGCCATCTGAACCACTAGGCAATTGCAATAGTCACTTGAAACTAGGCCTTCTTCTACGTTTATAGTTACTTTCTGGTACTTGTTTTAAAAATCACTAACTGCAGTAAGCAAACTAAACTTAGGATAATCTATTGTTTTCCTGGCCTGATAGATTCTGTAAATATCAGTCCAAGACCTGTTTCTCTATTTCAAAAGTATGTGTCTATATGCACATATAGAGCATGTAGGCACACACACATATGACAACCAACCAACCTGGAAAAATACTTAACATAAAATATAAAAGAAACAGCCTTCTTAACATGCAGGAACTAAATAATAAAGAAAGTAGTGAGACTTCAATTAGGAAATGGATAAAAGAAATAAACATGTACTTCCAAAAGAGTATGCACAAGTGTTTCATAAACGTATTTTAAAGTTCTGTCACACTTCTAAGAAAGGCAGTGCCACCAAAACTGGGTATTTGCTGCAAAACTGGAAAATAGATGATAAAAACGAGAAGGACAATGCTTGGTTAAAAGTCCTGTGGTATTCTGTTAGTGATAAATTACTATACAGTCTTTCTCAAAGTTAACTGGTAAAATGTATTGAGAAGGTAGAACATCCTTAAAAATCCTTATGCTCTTTGACATAATAGTTCTTTTACTATAGACATGGACTTCACAGGCTTGCTTTTGGTTGTGTTCCCCCTTTTGGTACATTGCCTGGCACTTAATAAATCATCCCTTCTCCTCCTCCTTTGATAGGAATATTGACCAGTTTTAAACCAAACATAGGAAGAACTACATTGAGACGTCTTTAGCTTAGACTGTACTTTCTTCCTCTCTCCTTTTCCTTTTTTATAGAGTTATAGAGTGTGAGGTATGCAGATCACACAGCCAAGGGGGGGTTAGATTCAGTTGGAATATGGGGGAAATTTTTTTATATGTCTCACTATAAATTTTAGAGTATATGACTATAAATTAATGATTTCAGTGTTATAATTCTGTATATTTTAACATTTTTAAATAACTGAGTAATGCATGGTGTTCCAAATACTAAGAGGAAGTATGAATAGATAAATGGAGTTTTAAAACTTAGAGAAAAATATTTATTCACTCGGGGGAAAAAAAGGTGGCCTTGTCTAAAATATTGCATGGCAATATGACTTCATCTATAGACCTAAGAGCAACTCACAGACAGACATATAAAAAAACATTTCCTGCAGCCTGTCAGTCTTTACACTGTAAAGCTTAACATGCTGGAATCACTTTGGTCTTGGAGCTTTTTACCTGCATCATCTTTTATAGCTGTCATCCTCAGATAAATAAAAGGATGTAAGAACAAATGAAAGTAGATGGACAGGAAAAATTTTTTAAAAATTTCAGGAAAATGTTTTTTAAGATATGAAATCAAAGGCAAGGGGGAAGTAAATGGATAATTTATTATAAGAGAAAAGCTTATTTGTCTTAGAATCATTGATTTATTTAGCTTTTGCTAAACTTTTCCTTTTAAAAATTATTCAGATGTACGCTTTGGGATTGAGGTAGATCGAAGCTTCCTTTGGAAGTGAAAGCTTTGTCTACATGCTGTGGTTTTGTGAAACCATATATTTCCCGTGTTAAGAGAATTCTTTGAACTTTTTTTCAAATGTTCTCTGCAGAGTGTTTTCCCTCAGAATGTAAGTAGTACGTATGGGAGTAAAAACAAAACGTCATCTTTGTTCCCACAGAAGCTTCGTTCTTTTCACGTCTTGCGGGCGTTTAGGTTGACTAGATTCCCGCCTTTGGTCACAGTGCCTTTTCTCGTATTTCCTGAACTGTGTTTATTGTTGTTCAGTCACGAAGTCTTGTCCGACTCTTTGCGATCCCATGGACTGCAGCATGTCAGGCTTCCTTGTCCTTTCCTATCTTCTGGAATTTGCTCAAACTCATGTCCATTTAGTCGGTGATGCCATCCAACCATCTCATCCTGTCACCCCCTTCTCCTCTTGCTTTCAACATTTCGCAGCATCAGGGTCTTTTCCAATGAGTTGGCACTTTGCATCAGGTGGCCAAAGTATTGGAGCTTCAGCTTCAGCATCAGTCCTTCCAGTGAGTATTTAGGGTTGATTTCCTTTAGGATTGACTGATTTGATCTCCTTGCTGTCCAAGGGACTCTCAAGAGTCTTCTCCATTTTAGTAGACCCCAAATTCCTTTTTCTGTTAGGTTTCTGTTACTTAGTTTAAAGAGACTTACTTAGTTTAGAAGAGACTCTGTCATTGGTCTTCTATGTAAAAATCTAATAGAGAAAACTATATTACTTCTATATTATATAAGACTGTATCCCTGAATATACTTCTTTCTTAGTAACCACAGAAGGAATGTTTTTCTAAGAAAATACAGTTCAAGTTTAGGGTGTGATTTGTGTATGTGTGAATTTTGTATAATAGGTTCAGCTCCACAGACATTTCATAGATGTTTACTCGAGAATGAGTGAAAGTTGCCAAAAATAGATAATTTGCTGTTCTTGGTAGCTTTATCATTTACTCATAATAAAACTCAGCTAACTGTTTCATACCTAACAGAGCCAGCACCGTGCTATACCACGGCAGCATCACCTACATGGCTCTGCAACCCAGCGAAGACCTCTCAGGTAGACAGAATCTGAGAGCAGTGACACTGCTCTTTCTAAGGTTTCAGACCCAGAAATTTGGTCTTATCAGTATATCTAGAGCTCCTCAGAATCTGGGGTACCTGCTCAGAGTAAGCAGTCCTACAAAAAGTTGATCTATAAACTTAAATATCTTATAATGAAAAGTATACATCTTCAGCTTCCTGAGCACTCAAGACCATTCTCCCTTTTAAAAATTTACCTGCTATCTAGGTCGGTGATCACAGAGTCATAGGGTTTGAATGGGTTTGAAAAATGCTTTAGAGACTTCCCTGGTGGCCCAGTAGAATAAGATTCTGTGCTTCCAGTGTAGGGGGCATAGGTTTGATCTCTGGTTGGGAAACTAAGAATCCCATGTACCACATGGTGTGGCTGAAAAAATTTTAAATAGAAATTAATTAATTAAAATACTCTATGCCACTTTTGGGGAAAAAATGATCAATTTTCTCTACCCCATGGGAGATTTCTTCTTATAATAATTGGTAATAGTTAACACCTATTTCAGAGAAGGCAATGGCAACCCACTCCAGTACTCTTGTCTGGAAAAGCCCATGGACAGAGGAGCCTGGTAGGCTGCAGTCCATGGGATCGCTACGAGTCGGACACGACTGAGCAACTTCACTTTGACTTTTCACTTTCATGCATTGGAGAAGGAAATGGCAACCCACTCCAGTGTTCTTGCCTGGAGGATCCCAGGGACGGCGGATCCTGATGGGCCGCCGTCTGTGGGGTTGCTCAGATTTGGACACGACTGAAGTGACTTAGCAGCAGCAGCAGCACCTGTTTAATTATGGTTAGCAACCAGCATAATGAATCCCCAGTACTGTGCTAAGTGTCTTACATGTTCATTGTATTTAACCCTCAAAACCATCCTATAACATAGATGCTAGTATTATCCCCATTTTAGAGCATATTCTAGTTGCGGCTTTCAGAGATCAAGCACTGTTGCCAGCCTTACACAAATGGAAACACTGGAGCTGAGATTTAGTCCAGGCTGTCAGAATCCCACGTCCCAGTCAGTTTTACTGCCTCCTTATAGTGACTGAGATTACTAATATCCTTTAGATGTAGAGTATGTCCCTTCACAATTTCTGGATTTAAAAAAAAGACGTTCTTCTTTCTCAGGTCTCTTTTTCTCTAAACTCCACATTGTTACCATTTTTCTCTAGTTCTCTACTAGACTGACGATATATGCTGGTTAACCTTCAATGGACTTGAGTATTATTTGTGTCTGTTTAGCAGCAACTTTTCAAGTCATTTATTTTATGTTGACTTTGACTAATTTCTTTTTTCAAAAGTGACTTTTTCTTGGTCTTATCCCATGAGTCGTAGGCAATTCCTTTCTTTTGCTCCTCCAGTCATATACGTTACTCTTCAGAAGTGTTTATTATTAGATTTCCTCTGCAGTAAATTATTAATATGAGAATTATATGTATGGGTATTGTTATTTATAGAGATAATTATATACCTGCAGTTCAGAGTGTGTCTTTTAGATATGTTAATGTTCCAGTAGAGAATTTTAGTGTTTACGTTAAGTTTATCGAGGAGACAAACTTTTCTCCTGTGAAGAGACACGGGCAGGTACATGTGGGCCTTCCAGAGTCTTGTTCGTCAGTGCCTTTTCTTTTAGCAAGTTAGATTTACCAAAATCATGTCACTGAGTCTCTTCATTTTACACTCTTCCCAGCTCATTGGAAAAAGTGCAGAGTGACACCTGCATGTGATAGGTTAAAAAACACTCTCCCAGATGTTGATTTTGGTTTTTAAAAGATTAATAGTTGAATGTGTTAAAAAGAATTGATATTTTTAAATGAAATTATGAATATCTCTCTACTTATTTTATTGTATTTCTTTCAGGAGGTGATACGAGCCTGTGCAGCAAAGGTGAGTGGTTTTTTATTACCAGGAAGACAACTTCAGGTTCCATTGTGAGGAACCAGAGAATTGAAATGTAGCATTCATAGATTTAATAGAACTTTTGAAAAACTTCATCTGATACCTGTTTGTTACAATTGGGGTTAAATTTATCAAGGAATCATAATACTGGAACCAGAGAGTTTAGCAAGTAGCTTAATATTTTTGAAGATTTAAAAATATTAAGGAATTGGGATGTATCAGTACTTTTAGTAAAGGGTCAGTAAGATCATTTCCTTCTCTGAGAAAAATACAATGTGATACTTTATAGGTAAGAGACACCAGCACACTTGCAGTGTATGAATGGGGCATAAAGTGTATAAGCCTTGAAATGAATGGAAGGTATGCACATATAGTAATAATATATTGTGTTCTGGATTATTTGTGCCTTGTTGCATACTTCCTTTCCCATTTAACTATGTAACAGTCCTGAGAGACAGGTTAGAGATGATTGCTATTCCAGTTTTAGAAAGGAGGAAACTGAGGTTGAGAGAGGTTTAAGTGATTTGCCCAAGACTCCCAAGTCAGTCTGAAAACGGAGATTGATACAAAGAGGCTCTTGATTGGTAAACAATTGCAGCTAAACCATATCTGAGTGGCTTTCAACCTAGCAACTTTCTTTAGCTTTCTTCCTTTTACAAGCAAGGTTATTTTATGTACAAACTTCAACTCAGTTATCAAGAAAATAAGCTTTATTTAAAAGAGTTGGAATGACACCACCTGTCCATTCTTCCCTCTTATTTTCTCCTGTACAGTTTCAAAATTCAGGTGAATCATGAGATACCCGTTTATTTGTCATATATGGTTATATATTGTCACGAAGTTAAAGGGTGAGGTCTCCAGAAGGAAAAGAATTAAAGTGGTATTAGTACAGTCAAAGCCTGCTTTATGTAATGTCAGTGCAACAGAAATACTGTCTTTACTCAGCAGACCCCTCCTACCTCGTGGCAGGTGCTTAGAATACAGAAGTTAGTAGGCTATTGTCTCGTTCCACATGAGGCATCTCGTGGAGGAAATGTGTCAGAAAACACTAGGCTTATCCCATCACTGAGCTGTCCAGTATCAGTCAGGACCCATCACTTTTTTACCTAATTATCACAAGTCAACAGGAAATAGAATAGAGACAAGGGGAAGGAAGATGGGGGGAAAAAAAGAGAACAAGCTTTATTCTGACTTGAGCTGCAGATGCTCAGGAAGCTTGTTCCTGATGGCAATGATTGGTGTAGTGATTGTGGCTCCAAGATTACTAAATGTTCTTAAGTGTGTATAGGGTATAAAACTGGAGTCACAAAATAGTTTATCCTCTTGATTAGCAGTTCAGAGCGATTTCTCTTTATTTTTACAAATATGTTATGTACCCCTCTTTTGTAATGCTGTCTGAATGTCCAAAGAGTAAAGTGTTCTGCACATATTTGGCAAGGCTTTATGGAGAACATCCTCTGCTAATCTGGAAACTTCCTGAGGGCGGAGGTCCATGTCATTCATCTTTGTGTTCCTAGTACTTAACAAAAAGTAGAATAAATTATGGTTGAAAATATGATGTTTTTGGAAATCAGTCAAGGTATGGAAAGATTGGGCTTCCCAGGTGATGCTAGTAGTAAAGAACCTGCCTGCCACTGCAGGAGACATAAGAGATGCAGGTTTGATCCCTGAGTCAGGAAGATCCCCTGGAGGAGGGCAGAGCTGCCCACTCCAGTATTCCTGCCTGGAGAATCCCATGCACAGAGGAGCCTGATGGGCTGCAGTCCATGGGGTCACAAAGAGTCGGACACGACTGAAGAGACTTAGACGCAGTAGCAGGAGCATGGGAAGATTAACCTACTAATGTCTTTAGTTATTTTCTTTTTTTATGACAGTTTTATTGAGACATAATACACATCCCACAATAGTCATGCTTTAAAAGTATACAGTTTACTGGTTTTATCATATACATAGAATTGGCAACCATCACTACTGTCTCTCCAAAAATAGAGATTATTCCCTCCAAAAAGAAACCCCATTTTCTCTCAGCAGTCATTCTCCATTTCTGGGTAAGGACAGGCACATACACGTACATACACACCCCCAAACAAAGCACTAAAACTCCTGGTAACCAGCAGGAGTGGTTTATACTTTCTGTCTCTATATATTTGCCAATTCTGGTTATTTTATATAAATGGATTCATAAAATATATGATCATTTATTACTGGCTTTCTATAGCTTAGAATAGTGTTTTCTTGAGTCCACTTGATAAGGAGCTACTCCTATCCTGCGAAAGTTCTCATCTAGATATGAAACTGGCATGCTGAAGGAGTGGAAAGAAGACCACTAATCTTAAGTGGGATAGTGAGCAAGCGGGGAAGAGCAGTGTTTCATGCCAAGTTGGGGAGAAGCTCAGGAGATCAGGCCTGCCTTTTAAACGGTCTTGTAAGCATGGTAATGTAGAGGAGGAAAAGCTTTACCTTCTGCCCTTATAGGTTCTGTGACTGGTCTAAGGGTTAAATTGGCATAGACAGATTAACAGGAGAAAAAAATGAAATTTTAATTTCATATATATGTGAGCCCCAGAAAGACGTGGGATGCCAAAGACTGCCAGGCAGCTGGGGCTTATATACCATCCTGAGCCTAAAATAGGGATGGAGGAGTCTGACGCTTCTGGGGCAGAAGGCAACTCAAGGGAAGGTAAGAGGAGGAACTGGTTGGCAGACATAAGTCTTTCAGGTGAAAAAGTTGTCCCTAATGATAGATGGCTCTTTTCCTGGTATAGACCCCCATTCTAATGTCTGTTTCTCTTACAAAAGATAGCTTCCACCCTGTGTTCAGAATGCCTGTGTTTATAGTTTCTCAAAGTAATCCTTATGCAAAAGAGGCACATTTTCAGGTGGCATATTCTACTATCCTTCAGTAAGGAGTTTAGGATATTAATTAGAGAAACAAGTGCCTGAGATGTGAAGCTGGAAAGAATGTGAGAATGGATTCTAAAAGGCGAGTAATAGTCTTCAATTCAAGGAAGAGGAGATTGTGGCCTATACTAGGATGGTGTTACAAGATAAACCAAGGCATATTAAACATTTTAGGGGGGTTTTCTTTGAGCAAAAATCAATTCGAATTGATTAGGGCCAACCCTAGGATCATTTAGAAGCTTTTCACTAGCAGGAGCTGGGGAAAGACTCCTAGAGTGAAAAGGCAGAAGCGAAACAAGGAAGTTACTGATTGGTTATAGTTTAAAGCCCAGTTGGCTATTGGGACTAGTTGTTTGTAGGTTTCAGTGTTGAAACCTGGAAGTATTTACAGGCTTAGATTTTGGTTTGCTTATGTGATCATAGGCCACCTGGCATTAAAGCCACTTCAGTCTAATCCTTTAATTGGTTTAAGAGTTGTAATAATGGGAGTGCAAGCAGTGGAGAGATTTGGGATATATTTTAGAAGTAGATTCAGCACAATGTGGTGATGGATTAGATGTGGTGTAAGTGAGAGAATGAGAAATTAGAAATCACTTCTGTGTTGCTGCTTTCAGCCACCGTGTAGATACTGGTAGACCTTTTTAATGAGATGAGGACTACTGGAATGGAGTTTTCTATATCAATGTAGCTGAGAAGTAGGCAATTGGATATTTGAGTCTTGAGCTCTGGGGAGAGCTCAGGGTAAAAGCCGTATTTGTTCTAACTGTCAGATTTGGTGAGATCACCTGGAGAATACCTGAGACCCTGAAGAAAGTATGTCAGGAAATCTCCCAGGAAGCATTTTAAGAAAGAGAAGTGATAAGCAGTCACATGCTATTGAGCAAATAAGTAAAACAAGGACAGATAATTGGCAGGATGATGTCCTTTGGTTTCCTAGATGAGTGCTGTTTCAGTGAGTGGCTGAGAGAAAAGCTCAGTGCAAGTGGGTTGAAGACAGAATGGGAGTCAGTAAAGCAGAGACTGTAGGCTATTCTTCTAAGAAATTTTAACTGAGGAGCAGAGAAGCAGCAACTGGAGGAGAACATTAGATGGACAATATTAAACTATGTTTATTCGCTGCTGGGAATAATTCAGTGGTGATGGAGAAATTGATAACATCCCATGGAGGTGGTTATTGCTGGACTCAGGTCCTTGAGGAAATGAGAGGGAATCAAATTCTGAAAGCCAGTGGAGAAACTGGTCTTTAAGAGAAATGAGCATTCATCCTCTCTCATAGGCACATAGGTAGAAACTATGGGTAGATGCTCAGATAAAGATTTGATGATGGGAAGATAAAAAGAGTTCTCATCTCATTACTTCCGAGACAGTAATTGGTATTAGAAGTCTTCCATTGCTCTCACATAAACTTATAATTTCCAAATTTCCTTGCTCTTTCCTTTGGTTAGAGCTGGGTTGAAGCATATCAGAAATGGTATTGCCTGGAGGAATCTCTTTCCATTAAGCTTTGTATGATTCCTCACAAATGGGATGAATCTGTTTTTCTCATGTTCCCAGACATGTTGATTCATACTTGGCATGTTATTTAATTGAGTTTATTCTGCCTTAAGTTATAATTAATTTTGCCCTATATTCTCCAGAATTAAAGTATGAGTTCCCTCAGGGAGGAGCAGTTCTATTCTTACTTTTCCCTCATCTTCCTCTCCTCTCTTCCTTGTTTCTGTTTTTTTAGATTTTACATGGTGTTGTTTCCAGCTCTGATCTTTACATGTCTGAAGTTCCATACTTCTCTGTAAGTTTCTTGAAAGCAGAGGACTTTTATCTTTTTTTTTTTCAATTATTAATGTCATCTATACTCAGTTCAGTTCAGTCGCTCAGTCATGTCCCAACTCTTCGAGACCCCACAGACTGCAACACGCCAGGCCTCCCTGTCCATCACCAACTCCTGGAGCTTGCTCAAACTCATGTCCATCGAGTCGGTGATGCCATCCAACCATCTTATCCTCTGTTATCCCCTTCTCCTCCCACCTTCAATCTTCCCAGCATCCGGGTGTTTTCCAAATGAGTCAGCTCTTCGCATCAGGTGGCCA